CCCCCCTCCCCGTTTTCCTCCCGACAACAACAACAATATCAACGTGGTCATCGTCGAAGACATCGAGAGCACGCGAGGGGACGACGTCTACTCCGAGGACGACCCCGACGGGCACGGCTCGCACGTAGCTGGCTCCGTGGCTGGATCCATCTACTCGGGGTGGACCGGCCCCGCCAACTGCCCGGACGGCGTGGGCGACGCCACGGAGGAGCAGACGGCGATGTCGTGCGTGGGCGTTTGCCTGGATCCCGAGGTGCTAGAGGAGTACATTAGCGACAACACCTTTGATCTGGACGCCCTCTGCCCCGAGGTATTGTATTGTGTGTGTGCACTGCTGTGCTTTGGCTTGTTTCGTTGCATGGTAACAGCTGTTGTTGTTGTGCCTTTGACTTGTTTGCCGCAAGGGGTCTTGGTTGACTTTCTTGTTTTTCGCGCTGCTGATGTGTGTTTGCTGCAAACGATTTCTTTTGACTGGGGTGGTTGGTTGGTAGAAAGGCGTGTCGGGGGGCGGGAGGGGTTCTCCCGTTTTTTTTTTGCGTTATTTGGCTTCAACACTTGTACAGCTATTGCTGGTCTTGAGGGCGCGCTGGCTGTGCTGAGCTGGGGTGTTTCCATGTTCACGCCCTGCGGTTAAGGAGACTGTGGGAATATTATGAACGGGATGAAGAGCGCCGTAGGCTTCGAGATTGCGGGCAAAGCTATTTCGGGTAACTGTACAGCAGTATCACACCGATAGTGTGTCGGAAGAATTGGAGAATGGGGAGGGGGCGCAGAACGCACGTTAATCGCAGACAGGACGCCCTGCCCTGTATGGGAACAATGCTCCGTCCGCTCGAGCGAGGACGCGTGGTAAATGGTCCAGCAGCTAAGGCATGCATACAGCTAATGCATGCATCCCCCCCCTGCCCTTCCCCATGTCGTCGCTCTCTCCCTGTCTCTCCCTTTCGCCGAAAGTACGACTGCGACGTGTACTGGGAAGCCGCATGCCTCTCCGACGACCGATCGGAGACTCTCGAGGACGCCAAGGGCGTGGCCCCGGGGGCGAAGCTGGCCGTCCTTGACCTAGGATCGTCGGACAGCCTGGAACAAGCGCTGGGGGGTACTATGTGGGAGGTCTCCGCCGGCACGGGAGCCAGGATCCACTCGGCGTCGTGGGGTTTCATAGACGAGCCCTGCACGGTTGACGACTCTTCCGTTTCTTTCGACCAATGGGCGTACGAGGTGAGGGGCGGGGGTGTACTCATAGTCGTGCATGCCGTAGTCATTAGACCGTTGACCTCGCATCCCTACAAAGCTGGGACGGAGCACGCCGGGTTCTCACCGGGCCAGGCTCTCACATCGCCAAGCGCGAAGCGCCGTGAGGTATTCGGGGGAGGCTTTTCGTTTGAGCGCTCGCGGGCGGGGCTCGCGAGCTTGCGAGCTTGCGAGCTTGCGAGGTATTGGATGAAGGAGGATGGTAGTGCATGTGTTGCGTGTGTCTTGCCCGGAGCACGCAGCAGTTTTTGTCTCGTGTATTCCCCCCCCCCTCAACAAATGCTCGCCGTCAAGCAATGCCTCACGGGTAATCGAAACGCCTTCCTCCTCGTTCCGTCCCGGCGGCATTGTTGTGGTACAACGGGAATGAGACCGGGTGTCATGCCAGGCCTGAAAAATTGTAGTTACGTATGCAAAGACGTACGCATCATACACTCCACAATCATTCCTCCCCCCCCCCCCCCCCCNATGCCAACGCGCGCGCCTTCCACTCTCATGCCTCCCCCCTCCCCCGGGCTAACAACTAACGCATGCGCATCATGCACACCACGCGAACTCCCCCCCTCCCCATCTCAGAACCCGGAGCACTTGCTGGTGTTCGCCGCCGGCAACCTGGGCGACGACATGACCGGCTGCAGCATCGCGTCGCCGGCGGTGTCGAAGAACTGCCTCGCCGTGGGGTCGAGCATGTCGGGCGAGTTACGCCTGTCTCCCGGAGACATGGACGAGGTGTCGGACTTCAGCAGCATGGGGCCCACGACGGATGACAGGATTAAACCCGATATCTTGGCTCCTGGACACTACGTGAGTTTTTTTTTTTTTTTCCTCGTTTAATGGCTTGCTTGTTTCCTTCTGTCTTTTGGAGTTTGTGTCTTGTTTTTATTTCGTGTGTGAGGATGGCGTTGCTGCTGGGGTAGGCGTTTTTGCGGTTCACACGGTTTAGCTGTTGAGTAAATGGCACCAGTGATGATCCTTGCCGCAAGCAACACCCACATAGCTAATAAGTTTTTTTTTCATGAGTGTATGTGTGCATGCATACCATGAGCGTGAAACAGACCGCGCTGTTGCTGTCGCTGGTTGTCCAAATTAAGCGCGCGAACGGCGGTAACTCACTGCACGGGGAGACACGCGCGGTGAAATGTGTAACGAAATCAAGCAACCATATCATCGGAATGGTACATGACAACCTCTGCCTCCCTTTTTTTTTTTCTCTCTTCGTATTTATACCGTACCGCGTATGTGTTGCCCTTCTATCTTATGGTCTCTTTCAGATCTTCAGCGCATCCAACGGGGGCGACGGTTCGTGCCAGCTTGACCGCAACTCGGGCACTAGCATGAGCTGCCCCATCGCCGCCGGAGCCGCGGCCCTGGTGCGGCAGTACCTTGTGGACGGCTTCTACGCGGAAGACGTGGGTGCTAGGGGCTCGCTCTGCGCCGCGGGGACCGATCCGGCCTGGGCCTGCGACGCCTTCAGCCCTTCGGGGGCCCTCGTGAAGGTGATGGATTGCTTGAGGGTTTTCTCTCGCAGGATCTCTGTAACGGACACAACAGCAGTACGAGCTTGAACGTCCACTGTAACACACGACAGACATGAAGGAGTTGCTTCGTGATGAGAGGTTTTGTCGTTAACATCACGAGGAAATGATGGGGAGAAACATGTGGTTAAGGACTCATCGGCTTGCTCCCACCAGCATGAAGATGGTTGAGGTCCATCGCTGACGATGATGGTAAAGCGATTTAGTGTCGGATTCGAAAGGAGATGATGATGATGGTGGTCGTGATGGTCTTGCCTTGCCTTGTCCTCGCATAGACAGCGTTCTGGTCAAGTTGAGGGGGGGGGGGGGGGGGGGGGGGGGG